GTACAAAAATTTCTTTTTTCACGGGTTCTTATAATTTTAAAAGTAATCATCTTGCAGAATTTATAAATTACTTTTTAAAAGGCAAATGAAATATTTATGTTTTAAAAAAAAAATAAAATTTCATTTGGCATTTCATTTTTTTTCGCTTATAATAAATAAATAAAAAATAAAAGAATCGCTTTAATGAACCCTAAAGTTTCTAATTAACAAAAGAAAATACAATTTCAATTAGCAAAAATTTCAATTATAAAAAAAAAAATAAAATAAAAAATAGATTTGTAAGAAGAGATGAAAAAATAAATTCTTGACCTGGAAAATTTGCGTATTTACTTCCATTATATTTTTTTCTTCATATTTATAAAATGCGCCCATTTATCGGATAAAAACTTGCATTTTTTAAAATATTTTTGATTTTGTCTCAAAAAAAGCTAATTTAAAATTTTTGAATTTTACATATATTATTATTTCAAATTATACAAAAACTGTAATTAATTTTAAAAATATAAGTAATTTTTGAAAAAAAAAATTGACCAAAGAAGGTCATTTAAAATTCGCAAAGATACATTTCATGTTTCATATTTGCATTTTTGATGGATTTATTTTTTAAAAAAAAATCTGAACTGAATGGTCATTAATTGTACATCATCAAACATATGTCAATCGAAAAAAATGTGTGACACACATGCATGATTTGATCAATTTTATTATGTACATCAGTTCCTCCTCTCTCTATTAGAAGCCACAAACTATATGATGGATGGCATGAAAAGAGTAGAGGACTAATGAAGACTTGTGCCGATAATATTGGAGGAAATCGAGAAAAGAGTTTATGGCAGCAAATCGGAAGACATATCAGATTTCTAGCATAGATCCACAACAGTAATGATGCGAGCTGCAAGAGAGGAAGAACACGGATGAGTGGTCCGGGGTTGTTTTGCATGGAAGCAGGTTATACGAGAGCGATTTTTCCTGAAATTATACCATTTTATCCTTTTAAAATCGCACTGGTTGCATCGAAAGGATTAGATTATTTTATGAACAAATGGTTATTTATATATTGATAGCAAGCAGTTTATTTATATTTATTATACAAATAAATAAAAATAAATATAAATATTTATATGTATTCAGTTTATTTATTTATTTATATTTATTATAATTCACTTAAAATGTTGCAATAAATTTTTTTCGATACTCCATCGATATGCAATGCAATGCTTATATGCAATGCTTTTTTAAAATATTTATAAAATCACCACAACAAATCCATCGCTATGCAAAACAAATTGAGAATTTCAATATTCAGCATTCTTATAAAAATTTTGTATAATAAAATCGTTTATTATTAAAATATTTATATTTATTTACATTTACATTTAATATTTATTATTAAAATACGATTAAATTAAATAAATCATGAATTATGCTCTTTCTCGTATCGAAATTTCTAATTCGGTTCATCGTGTTTAAAATTTGGAAAAAAAAACTCGATTTGAATAGGAAATATCGGATTGAAAGACAATATCGCAATTAGTGCATATAAATATTACACAAAATTTCCAACATTATTGTGGTTAAATTTTTCGGTGATTTCTTTTTGGCGTTTTACGAAAAGATAATTTTTTAAAAAAACACTAACTAATATTTAGAAATCGTTATAAAAAAAAGAAAAAGTTAAACGTGCAAAAATATTGTTTAAAATATTTATAAAATCATTACAACAAATTGAACCAATTTTGTTTGTTTCCGAAAAAATGTATTTCCGAAATTCCTACTAAGCACTCCGCTCTTCTCAATCGTTTTTTCGCAGTTGTCTTATTAGAGGGTTTTTTGAAAATTGAAATTTCTCGAAGAGAATTGAAATTTAAAATTTATTATCGTCCATGAACATTCATGCCTATCATACGACGCCAAATAAAAATTTGCACAATATTGAAGTTCAACTTAGAGGTTATTCTTTAAAAATTTCGATAAAAATTACAGATTGCGAAAATAAATGATCTTTTATTTTACATGATTTTTCTAATATTATTTGTTTATTAACTTAAAAATTGGAGAATTAAAAGGAAAAAAAGGAATAATTTTAATAACTTAAGAATTTGAGTGGTGACTAAGTGGAATACTGTTTCAGTTGAAAAGTATTTAAGAAATTGAAAAATAACTTCATTCCTTCCTTTTCCTACTATCAAAAACTTGGATAGTGCTGGACTCTCAATTGTATATCTTTTCACCTAAGGATGAAAAGATCTAAGATTTGGTGAAACTTAATCAAATCAGAGATGGTGCGTGGAAATATTTGGAAGGAAAAATTGAATTTCTCAAGGATTTTGTAAGTTAAAAATTGCGGAAGAATATTTGTATATCATCAAAACGTTTCATTTTCCTTGGAATTTATAAAAAGAGATTTATTACCTCAAAAAAAAAACCATCCAAACATCTAAAAATCTTATCAAAAATGCGATTCATGCGATTTTTTTAAAGAAGTGTTTAAATTATCTAATAAATTTGTGTATATCACACCTTGAAAAGACGAAAAATAGAATGTGCTTTGGATAAAATGACCTTCGAAAACTAATAAAATTTATTTGCACGACAATAGTAAGGAATTTCTCGAACGAACGATCAATCGAGCGAAATTTATTAAAATAAGTATTCTTGAAATATTTTTCGATACATTTTCATTTTCAATTCGTCTATTTATTTAATTATGAAATTTGCAAAAAAAAAAAAAAAAACAATTTTCTTTCAAACGTTTCCCTCAAAATTCATACGACCAACCAACTAAAAAATGTGTAAATATAAATAAACGAAAAAAAACTAACTTCCAACAGTACTTAAATCAGCGTTCACCTTCTGTTTGCCCGTAGATTCCAAATTATTTGCCTATAAATTTTAATCCTATTTTAAGCGTCATTTGTTTGAAATTCCTCTAAAAATATTTTTAATTTCTGTGAAATATTTCCAAAACAATGCTTGAAATACATTCATTTGTTGCTAACATCGATTATTTAACAATTTTAGATAGAAGAAATGTACGGATTCCATTCATTTATCCATTTATTTGGAGGATATTCATTTATGAAATGATGAATGAAGATAGTTCTAATGAAAATTTTCGATGTGACAATAAATCTTTAGAAAATCCATAAATATGGAAATAGAAAAGCCTTTGGAAAAGAAGCTTTTCGCTTTTATTTACTAGAATAATCTACTATTTTACGTGAATATTATATAACAAAAGTTATTTCTCGTTTGATCTTTGAAATGTTTGATGCATTGACGAATTTCGATGCAAAATGGAAAATTCTGCGGTAATTACGGAATTTCGCTCATAGAAAAATTTTTCACCGATCATACCGATCAACAATACAAAAATTTCTGAGCCGATTATAAGCCAATTTCACACAATATAAAAACAGCTTCTCAAACTTGGACCGTCAATTTATAAAATTCTAAGTTGAAAATAAAAATTCTTTTCTAGAAAACTGCCATCTTTCTTGCGACAAACTTATTCGTTCAGCAGAGTGAAAGCGTTTTTCTGCCTTTAAAACATGCAAAAATGCAAAGGATTTTTCTAAAAAAAAAAAATTTCCTATATTTACCTTTTTTTTACTAATGCTTTTAATTGTATAGCAAAAATAAATATTTCTTTTTTCTTCTTCCTAAAACGATTTTAGAAAAGGATTAAAAAAGATTATTAAAAAAAATTTATGACTTCTTTTGAAATTTGAAAATTTAATTGTTCTAAATTAAAGGATTACAAATTTGATACGACTTCTTTTAAATAAACAAATCATTCATTAAAAATAATGGAAGTATCACAAATATGCTGTCTTCCTGAATTCACCAATATGTTGTCTTTCTGGATCCATCCACATGCTATTTTCCTGAATTCACCAACAAACTATTTTGCTGGATTTTATTTGTTGCAAAATGATTGAATACGATGAAAATATATAACCAATTAAAATATTTCCAAAAACTTTATTCATAGTACGATGGATTAACTATATTTTGTGAGTGAAATAATAATAAAAATAATAGTGATTTATTTTATTTACTTTCATAAATCGAGTATTTTAGTCAGTTGTTTTGATGAAAGTTTTGCTGCCAAATAATTATGAAAATAATAGTAAAAAACTGGACAATCAAACAAAAATAGGAAATAACTCGGTTTTTCAATGATTCTATTTACTTAATTTTACTTAATTTTATTTAATTTTGTTATAAATGTTTTTTTCAATGATTTGATTTATTCTTGAAAATAGTTAATTTTCACATTTCAATATATTATAATATAATATTCAAATTTAATTTAATAAAAAAATGAACAATTTTCATTTTTATTTAATTTTATGAAGTTTTGTTATTTGGAAAACGAGTTTTGCAGTTTTTTTTATTTGATTTTCGTTATTTTTTTATTTTCTCAGCTATTTTTTTTCATTAATTATACAAGTTGGCATTGTTAAAACTAAAACATTCTTCTAATCGAATTCAAAAGAGAATTTCTGACTGCTAAGATCGATGATTTGCAATGATCGAACAATGCAACTATTTGTCGCTGAATTTGTAATCTTTTTAAAGTATAAGGGCATTGATAATAATTGAGAAGAAAGAGAGGTCAAATAGCTATTAATAGAACGTAATTATCTAATTGTGAAAATACAAAAAAAAAGTGGAAAAAAATTATGAACCCCCTTTTAAGAAAACGCAAAAGGACCAACCCCTATATGATTGACGATGAAACGACGCACCCGTAAAGATATGGATGTGAAACAGCGTTGACATCAACCAAAGACAAGAGCGGTGATGGCGATAACTGCCACGATTCTTCGTCTTCCCCTGCATTTTAATCAATTATAAGCGATAAGTTGATGTGCAACGAAGAATTACCCGGCGAAGATCTTGAACGGGTTTCTATGATAAACTCATATATTGACAATATTTCCATGTGTTAAGACACTCTCCAAGAGTGTTCTTTTTTTTTTATCAATCCCATAATGTTTCCTATCTTTATTTGGCTTCTTTCATTCGCTATTGCGCATCCACAATATCCATCAGTCGATTGGAATTCCGTTCATCGAAGTTTATCCAACACTGACACTGTATATATGGCGCAATGCGCTTCTTCATCGTGTACAACTATTTTTGGTTCATTCCGTGGTAATATTTCAAATAACGTCTGCTTTTGTCAATGTGGAAAAGAATATCCGTCTTTTTTACCATCCGCGAAAAGTTGTATCAAAAAACTTGGTGAGGCTTTTCCTCATTTTTTATTTAATCGAAAATTATCGATAAACCATTATCACTTATTAAATTATCAAATATTATTTTACTATTATTATTATTAGATCTGTTGAAAATTCTCGATTCACTTTTTTTCAGAAAAAAATTTCATTTTAGAAAAAATAATTTGAAAAAAAAAATTTGAGATATATATTTTATAAAATCTTAAGAGAATTCTGAAGAAATCATTGCTAAAAAAGATTGAAAAATAATGCGTTTAAAATTTTTAGTAGGCTTTAAGACTGGTTTCGTTGGTTGATCGATTTTATCGAAACATTTTTTTTTGTCTGATTTACTTAATAAAAATCAAATTTTTGGTTTTATTAAATTTATTAATAATTATTAAAATTATTTATTAAGAAACAGTGATTTTCGTATTTTCATATTTAAAAAAACGATGACGACGATAATTTTTTATAACTGCGAGTACCATTAGTAATTAATTAGTAACTGATAAGGCTCAATATATTATAAGATGAATAAAAAAAAAACGCTTAAAACGATGACTTAATTTTTTATAATAGCGAGTACCATTACTAATTAGTAACTGATAAGGCTGAATATACTATAAGATGAACGTCAATTCCTACGACTTGTGCCGGAAAACTTAGCATAAACAGCGCGGGTGACGATATCATTAATAATATTAATTATATAAATATTATAATATAAATATTATATAAGTATAATATAAATATCATATAAATATAATATTGAAACTTATTAATAATATTACCATTTTAAAATTTTTTACCCATTACAAGTATTTCTATAAATTTCTATAAATTTATAAATTTCTATAAATAATATAAATAAATTTCTATAAATAATATAATAAATAAGTTCGCGATGAAATTCCAGAATGCATATATTTGCAATATGTTAAGAGGTTTTTTTTTCCGATATAACCAATTTAATGTGAGTTCGTCTGATTTTTACTTCCAAGAATATGCAAAATTTTTGATTTTGTTCGCTATGCTGGCTTAGTTGAATTAAATTTGTTTTTGAGAAGGAGGCCTTGAAAATAGAAATGGGCCGTTAGTGCCACTTGGATTTTGAAAATAAGTTTATTCCAGGTTTACTCCAACCGAGAGCATACATCCCATTATCGAATCTCCGAAATTAGAGCAATAATTCACAATCCATTATATCCCTAATTCTAAATTCTGATTTATTATATCATCATCATCATCCTCCTCTTCTTCCTCCTCCTCCTCCTCTTCATTCTCCTCCTTCTCCAGCCATATTTTCCTTTCATTAACAGTTCCATTTTTCAATTATTTGATTTTAGCCAATTCCATGCATTGTTCAATGTTATTGTTCAAATGATTATCGAAAAAAATTTTGAATGAAGTTCAAATTTCAAGCATAAATTTAGAATTCTTCATAGAAAAATTCGCTTAAATCAGGCTTGCAAAATATATACGGCCAGAGGATCAGATTCGCACGGTGCTCTTGCATTTGCTTCATACGAAGATTTTTTGAAAATAAAGTTTGCACGATAAATTTTGCAAAATTATGATTTACATATGGATTTTAAGCTTTTTATTTTATGGATTTCCTTCAATACCTTAGATATATTTTTTATATATTTATTTTATTTATAATTTTTTTGTTTAAAAATAACAAAAATGAATAGAAAAATTTTTTATTCTTTATTATTATAAAATAAGCAATGAATTTTTGTCGAAATTCAACATGTGTGGACAGTTTATTAATGCCGCAGTTTATTAAATTAAATTATTTTATTAAATCAAAATCAAAATTGTCTATCGCATTTAATCGGTTAAATCATGAAGATTTAATTTAGACCTGTTTTACATCGTTATGACCTAACAAATTATTAGAATAAGAAATTCACAGCATCCACTTAAATTTATTTCATACAATAAATGATGAAATGAAGGGAAGAACAATTATGCGATATTGTGTTTATGAAAGATTTTAAAAATTATTATTATTTTTATTTTATTACTAAAATTATTTTTATTTTTTTTTTATTTTACTTTTTTATTATATTTTTTTTATTATAAATTGCAAATTATTTATAAATTAATAAATAAATTATTTTATAAGAAAATAAATTATTTTAAATAAATTAAATTATAAATTATTTTTCTTCAAAAATAAAAAAATTTTAAAAAAATATTTTACGATGAAAATTTTTGTCTCAGACAATAATTAATTTTCTTATAATAAAAAAATAAATAATAATAAATAATAATAAAATAAATAACTTTGTATGCTTTTTTTCATTGTAAAAATTTTTTTTTTAGATGAATGCAAACATCAAATAACATTCAGTGTTTATGACCAACGTTCCAAATGGATTCCAACATTAACGATTCCAGCAACTAATAATATATTTGGATCGTCGAATAAAATTCTCTGGAATGGTTAGCGAAATAATAAATTAACTGCTTCAACTACTCGATGCTAAATCTCATTGTCATTGTATTTAATTATCTGGGGCTAGAGTGGCTCAGTGGGTTGTAGTGGAGCACCGATTCTATTCGAGGTTCTCCCTGCACGAGTGCAAAAATCCGGGTTATGCTAGCGACTCACCTATACTTCTATCGCCAGTGGATTCTCTGGTATATTTGTCCAGTGCGATAGGCCAGCGGAGCAAGTTTAATCAATAATGGTGAGGACTTTTAAAAAAAAATTTAATTCTACGACATAACTGCTTCCATTATCAATAGAGTCGAGCGATTTAGCACTAACCTCTTCGAAGAATGGACTCGATTTCCACTCTCTTTCCTTATGTGCAAATTCTGTTCGTTAATTAATTGTTATTTTGTAATTTTATAAATTTTGTAAGCTTTTTATAAGAGGACGTATAGAGGAGATATTTTCATCGATTACCAGGGAAGGTTAAAGATGCATGGCAAATTGTGAAAGTGCTTGAGGCAAAGTGCTTGAATAAGTTTTAAGAGAGTTGAACAAGATTTGGAGAGCGTTTGAAAGCGAGTAGAATGGGATTTTAAATGAGATTTTGCCAAACATAATTATTTAGAAAATCTATTTTTGCTGTTATCCAATTATTTATAAGGGGAATACCAATGAATTATTTTGGACGGATTTCACGATAATATTATTAAATTAGATTTATTTATTTACAATGTTTATCATTATACTTTTTTCCAATAGAGAGAAGAATCGACTTAAGTCGAACTTATAAAGTTTTCATGAATTGCGAACAGATTTTTCATGTTCAAAATGAATACTCAAATGCTTAGAAAGTGTAAAAGTGTAATTTGACTTACTTCTCTTTCTACTTTATACTACGATGTTACTTCTAATTTTTCATAGTTTTTCATTTTTTGTGCCCTTTTTTTTCTTTCTTCATTAAATACACAGTCAATTTAAAATTTATTTGCAGAAAGTGGAGTAAATGAAAAAGTGAGTGGCACAGTGAAATGTGTTATTAGCAATATGTTTATGCAAAGTGACAATCGTTGGACGGCTGTGGATCACAAACGTCTTTTTTCATTTGTTGTTTTTAATAAATCAACTTATCTAAAGGTTAATTTCAAATTTTTGGTAAATATTTTTTATAGAATATTTTTCAGTGATTTAAAAAAATATATGATAAATTATAATATTAAAATATTTCCTTATAATATTTCCTTCACAAAAATGCCATATTTTTAATACTTTTTATTTTATTTGTATATATCCCTAGGAGAATGTTTATTTTCAGTGGGATGGAAATGAATTGGATGCACAAAAATTAGAAGGTACCATAGTTCAATTGAAATTGATCTGCCATGGAATTAATAATTCACTATGCTTGTCGTTTAGGATTGCTGGAGTACAAAGTAAGGCATTATGAAAGGAATATTCAGAATGCAAATATTTTATTTCATAATTTAATAGTCGTAATGATTTTTCTTACTCAGCTAATTTTCTAAATTTAATTAGAACTAATTTTCATCTAGAAAATCTGTAAATGAATAAATTATTTGAAAAATCTGAAAATGAATATTACTAGTAAAAAATTATTGTAATACTAAAAACTGGTGTTTTAATAAATCAACTTATCTAAAGGTTAATTTTTTGGAATTATCATCTTTTAAATCAGTATGAAAACATTTGATGATAATGAGATTATCATTTATCATTTTCTTCTCATAAATGATGAATGATATTGCAAAATTTTAGCGAACAAAAATTCATTATTTCCAATAAATGAGCGAAGATGGGATCGAATTGAACTTACGGTTTGTTTTTTTCTTGGAGTCGTTCTTGCTTTCACTATTCTTGGTAGTGTTGCATTGTGGAATGTTTGTTGGAGAATTCAAAAAAGCAAACTGATTTCGGGCATGCAAATGCAATTCTTTTATTACATTAAGCAACAACAGGTTTTTCTTTCGTAAATTTCAAATTTTAACAAATCTTTTTAAATTAATGAATCGTTCAGTATGATTTTCCTTAGTTTGTTTTAATCATTTTTTACTTTTTATATTATCCAATCAATGCTTTAAAAAAAAAACTGGCATGAATCTGCTGTGAGAAGAAGAAGAAATCTTCGTTTCTCGAGATAATCAAAAAAATGACTCAATAAAGCGAAGCAATGGGATACTTTGGGTTTTAGTTATAGTCAAGGATGGGTTCGATTTTTTGGTGAAGTAAAGTTATTGGATGGCTGTCTAAGGATAAGATAAACACCTTATTCTAATAATCAATCAGCAATCACTATGATGGGGCTATAATGTTGGTGCTTGGACTGGACTAATAATCAGTAATCAATGGAAAAAGCCAAACCAGAAGGATCCCAAACACTCAGTTGTTGTTATAGCCAGAAAAAAATTGAGATTAGGCGACAGCTGAAATATTTTGAATTAGGTTTTTTTCGCAATATTCTCTTAAATGGGAAATTCTTTTGTAGTTGCATATAAGCGAACAACTTGCTGCAATACGAGCAAATGCCGAACAACGTATAATGCGTAGTAATATTATCGATGAACGCGCACATCCAAGTCTGGGAATTCAGAAAAGAAAATTGTATTTTAGTGCAGGTAGATAAGCATTTCGATTTTAAATTTGGCTAAATTTTTACTTCGAACCGAAAGAAAAATATTTTTCATTTCAAATAAGAAAGAAATAATTAACTAAGCAAATATGATTTCAGACTTTTTTGAACCCGAAATGTTGGCTAATCCTCCACAACTAGCGCAACAATTCGTTACCGAATTACGTAAAATGATTGACATCGCTCGAGAAAGAATCAAATCGAAACGCCACGTACCCAAATTAGAAACAATAACGGAAAATCAAACTGAAGAAGACTATTTAAATGTTCCCAAATTAATGAAATCTCTTGGAAGTGCGAAGTGCAAAAATGACGAACAATCAACGGGATTGAATAATTTGCTGAATTCTGATAATAATTTGATGGCTTCAAGATGTGATGAACCATCGCCTAAATCTATAAAATCGACAGATTCTGGTTGTGATTCGATGAGTGATGAAGATTTACAAATGCAGTCGAACACTTCCGATAATAATTTTATCAATGAAATAGATCGAATAGAAACAGATCAGTCACTGAAACAAAAAATTTTATCGCCTCAATTTGCTAAATCACCTCCATTAGAGGAAATTTCTTCATTTTCACGCATACCAGTCAATTCGTCATCACGAATGATTTCATTAACCTTACCAGTACTTTTAGATCCTTTAAAGCCAATGCATCTAAATACGAATTCGAATGCATCACCAATTATCACGACTGATGCAAACATCAAATATGCGGGGAAAGAAACAGTTACCGAAGAGGCACCACCATTATTTTCGCGAAAACCTTCAAAACTAGAACCTCCGAAAATTGTTCCTCATGCATCTCTGCACGACGCAAATCATTCACTGCCCACAATTCCAAAAGATAACTTAGTTCCAAATAAAAGGAAGACCTATGCAGTGTTTCCTAGCGATTCGATGCTTAAAAAATCTTTGCCTCGGCGTGCTAAAAAATATTCACCTCGCATTATTGAAGCATCATTACCTATCGAAGATTCAATATAGTGCCATATCACGATTTATGCTATCGTTTTTTTTTCATTTTTTCAATTCTGCGGGTATCGTAAAATACGAAAGTAAAATTTTGCATATATGGAACTTTGATTGAACTTTGAACCGATTCCATAAATTAAAAAAAATTAACGAAATTTGAAAAAACGAGTAAATTTCTTGCCAGATTTTGATAAATCTGAGCCGAGGCCAGAGTCCCTTAATATTTTATTTCTAAGGCTAATTTCTAGGCCTTGAATAAGTAAAATAATTTTTAAATTTCTAAACTTGTTGTATTTAAGAAATTAAAAACGTTTTTTAAATAATTATCTTGTAAAATTAATTTGTGAAATTTTGCATAATTGTTAATAGCTTTGTTATATTTCTGCCGAAATTATCGTAGATTATTTATTAAAAATTCAACTATAATGATTCTGAAATTCTGAAAAGAAAAACTTTTCTAAATCGTTGTTATTTTTTCTGATAAAAATTTTTCGCTTTGTTGATTATACGAATTTAAAAATTTCATTAATTTAAGCGAAAATGATAAAAAAATTGGGAAATTATTCAGAAATCTTAATGTTAATTAATAAATAAGAAAATTTCTTTTATTTTTATGCTCAAATAAAAAAATTTATCAAAGAAAGAATTTTATTTATCAGTTCTAATTTTCAGATCATTAACACATCCTTCCTTAACACATGTTTCTATGTATAAAACTATTAATCAAAATATTTATTTTAGTGTTTCAGTCGTTTTTCATCATTAAATTTTATGAAAATAATGAGGAATTTAATTTCTTTGACGAAAGTATAATTTTACTATTTGATAAGCTTCCTATATAATCTTTGTCAACCTTATCAGTTAGCTTACAATCGTTTAAAAAAGTTCTCTTAGAAGTAATGAAACAAATCCGATGATTGTTCGTAATTATTAAGTATCTATAAAAGCAATAAAAATTCAGAATCAGAATGTGGTCGTCAGAAATGACAATTCATTTCTCCTTTAGGTTTGGAAAGATAACAAATATTCTTTGAAAAAAAAAAGTCTATTTTCAAAACGAGTTTATCATTTAGCGTTTCTTTATGAAAACGCTGATTACAAAAAAAGTGTTAAATGTTTATGAAGAAGCGAATTAGTCGGGCATATGAAATGTGCATATTGTTGGTGTAATTGTCGCATCAACTTTTTTACGAGTTAAGGAGCTACGATGGGAATTCTGGACGCTGAACTATGGTTACCTAGAGATGTACAATGGTCCCAAATACCAAATCAAGTATCGGAACTCTTTTATGTACCAATACTTGCAATAATGATAATTATTTGTCGTATTTTTTATGAGGCTTTCATTGGTATTATTTTCGCACGTTTACTTGGCTACGAGAAAAATTCTTGGCTTTATAGCGTCAAAAATTATTTATTTTTTGGCTTTATTACGAATAGGCGCTTAAAGAAATTTGTGGAATGCTTTTTTCGAGCATCGGCTTATTTATTTTTATTTTTATTTGGCTGTTATGCGCTTACGGATGCAATTTGGGTCCACGATGTTAAATATTGCTGGATTGATTATCCAAGACACAACCCGACTAAGCGAATAAGGTATATATTAATTTCTTAAGATCCCCATGATCTATATGAGTTATTAGAATAGTTAAGCCTTCAAGTCTATTGTTAGTACGTCGTTATGAAATGCAATTATAATATAAAATGCAAAATACCAAATCTTCCATCCATATTTGTGGCAGAATTCTGCGCTGTATGATAAGCTGATTGATAAATTACGATCGTAACTGGCAATTTTAGTGTTTAATTGGGTTTTTAAAGAATTTTTTCACTATAGTCGTGCATCATTCTAAACTTCTCATATTGCAATGAAATAAAAAATGGAAAATTATTTGTCATCTTTGATTTGAAAAAAAAAAAAAAAACAAGTGATTTTTCTATTCTGGGAAATTGTCATTTCTGCTGACATCAATTTTATGAATTTCTGATAAAATGATAATCATATATAATACGTTATTGCCAGGTTGTATTACATATTTCAAATGGCTTTATACTGGTCACTATTGCTTTCATCTATTATCGATATTCGCCGAAATGATTTCTGGATACACATCCTACATCATTCTTTGACTCTTTGCTTACTCTCTATGAGCTGGATTATAAATAGTATTCGAGTTGGAACGCTGATTCTTGTTTCGCATGATGTATCCGATATTCTATTGGAACTGTCGAAATTATTACGATATGGTCCTAGAACTGCGAAATATGCGCCAATCGTTTTTATACTATTTAGCTTTTGGTTGGCTAATTTTTTTTCAGATTTTATTTTTAAAAATTATGTAAATTATGTAATTTTATGTAAAATACATAAAATTTTATAAAAACGAAAAGAAACTACAATTACAATATTTAAAATAAAACTTGATTTATGAACGATAAATTTCTTGATTACGAATGCAATTTTTTAATTGAAATTCTTTCAAAAATTGAAATATTTATTTCAAAAAAGAGAAAACCGATAAATTAGTTCAAAATTTCTTATCAAAACAACTCAAAAATTTTCGAAAATAATAAAGAAACATTAATAAAAATTTAATGATGTGTTGATATATTTTTTTTTTTGCAATATTATTAATTTTAATAATGAATTTTCAAAATAAATATTAAATATTTAGTTGGGTAATAACGAGGTTAATATATTTTCCATTTGTTATTCTACGTTCAGCGTTATTTGATGCTGCAAATCTCGTTCAACCTGATTATAGTTTATTCGACATTTTTCAGGTGTTTTTTCTATTTTTGGTTATAATTATTTCTAGAAAATAATTTATATGCGATGAAATAGGCAATTCAAATAATATTTCCAAATTTGTTTTTTATTTCAATATTTACTAAATAATTAAAATAGTTTCAAAAAAAAAATGTTAGATTCCTAGAAAATTTTAAAAGTTTATTTCCAATGATTTTATTCGTTTTTTAAAACTCTTCTAAGCCAGAAAATTATAATTAAATTTTAATTACATCGAGATAATTTAATTTATTACTTTTTTTCAAATAAAACAATTAAATAAAATTAAATAAAATTAAAATATCTTTCAAAATATTTTTATTAAAAAAATAATGATAAAGTTTATAAAAATCAAATAAAAAATCTGGGAAAAATTGCCTATATTTAAATAATTAAAATTTCAGCGTCCATATGTTCCACGAATAATGTTTTATCTTTTATTACTACTTATGGCACTTAATATTTATTGGACAAACTTAATACTTCGGGTAATCATAACGGTAATAAGGATTGGCAATAGTAAAGATATACGAGAAGATGATGATGATGAAGAAGATGATAATGTCGTGAATATTCCTGCTCATAAAAAAGTACAGTAATAATATGCCATCGAAGCCAAGAAAAATCAGTGGGACGACGCTATTCGTGGTATATAAATGAATGAGGATTATCCTTACCCATATGATATAAATGAATGAGGATTGTCCTTACCCACCCACATGGAATATGAAAAAAAGCATGTATGCAACTGATAAATTAATATTAAATAGAGATAGGATATAGGTGAATAGCAAGACAAAGCATAGATAAGAGAGCCGATCAGATTCAAATCAGGAAACGACTTAAGCCAGGAGTGCCCAATTCGCGGTCCGTTTTTAGCCCCTCAAAGCACATACAAATCTGAGAATTGCACTGCACTAGTTTCGCAAGAAACAGGTCAATTATCACACTAATTGCCCTTCTTGCTTAAATTTTACATTGCTCTTTTCTTTCAATTTTACCCTATAAAAATATGTAAAATTTAAAAAGAATAAATAAAATTTTTGAACACTTTTTTTCAATTTTTCTACACTATATGCCACAAGACAATTTCAAAGCAATGCCTCTTCACTCACTAGAAAAGGGCCTAGAAAAGTAAAAAGGCTGGCCGGATAGCCCTAATCAAGACCATGGTTCAGGCAAAGCATTGGTTACACCTATGGTACCACATCCGGACCATGAAAGGTGGACCGTGCGAATTATTTCGGCCTGCGTATATTAGACTACAAGAGGATCGTGTGTAAATAAACAGACGCACTAAATGCTAATTTCGCTTTAAGTATTCATTATCATTGTTAATTCTTCTTTATCAGAACAACATTTAAACTACAAAATATAATTTCAAATGGCTCTTTTTTTTAAATTGCCGACCGTTTCTAGCTAAGCGCGTATGACTGGCTGGGCTTGCTAGGCCAGTTGGCGACAGAACAACAACTGAGTTATCACCAGCATTTCTGAAAAACAATTTTTTCCTACTGCAGTGGAACCTCAGCAATAGCGTTCCAAAATTATGAATTCAAATAAATCCCACATCTTACAACGATAATCTGTAGTTTTTAAAATCTTGGCAACTCGCCATTTTGCAAAATTTTATATTTTTCGAAAATAATTTCATTTTAAAATAAATTTCTGGTTCGATGAATAGAAATGTTCGTTGGTTGCATGGTGAAGGCGATCGCTTTTTTGTCATTTCGGCCGAGCGTTTCGGTGTTTTTTCGGCCGAAAGCGATTTCTCACCGAAATTAGTCGACGAGATTCCGTTAAATAATCAATCGAAATCCGATCAAGTAATATGCGTCTTTTTTTCTTCAAAGTACATAATTTACGCTGCGTAGGCCATTATAGTTGGTTGGCTAAAAACATTTAACTCGCGCTTTTCGTTTTATCCACTCTTCGAGTTGAGGCAAAATGGCTCAGTGGGTCGTCGCTCAGTTCGGGGCGCCGACCCACTGAGGTTCGATTCCCCGCAGGAGTAAACCTGTACGATAATCCGGGCGATGCTGGCGACTCACCTGTATTATTTCCATCGCCAAGGGACTCCCTGGCATAGTTGTCTAGTGCGACAGGCCAGCGGAGCGAGCATAACCAATAATGGTGAGGGTTTAAAAAAAAAAGAAAATTCTTCCAGTGAGCATTGTCATTAAAAGTTAAATCTGATTGACTGCTGGTAATCCATGTACATTTCTGTTTTCCTTATGGATCTCAAATTTGTAATTAGTGGAGCCACGTGGCATTATGCAAAATAGTGAAAAAGAAAGAAATAGGTCTGTAGTTTTGCAATGTCTATAAATCATTTATTTGTTGAAAGTTATTGAATCTTTATTTTGTTTTAGCAGTTTTTTCTATTTGTAAAAAGTATTCTGAAAAATCCTCGAATCAGTGTTATAATTTTAGGATCGTCTACGATGCTTTGATTTAAGTATTCTCAATAACGATAATCTTGCTTTGGGTTATCAGAATGGAAAAATCTTAGTTTCAAAACTTGCCATCGATCCTGATATTCGGTTTTCCTTTTATTTATTATTGTTTATTATTTAGAAGAAAATTGTTATATGCAATGGTTATATGCTTATATTATTACTAACAAAAATAAAAAATATCTTCCTATTTTATTCAGAACCTTTTATAATTCTTCACACCATTAAATAGCCTTAATCCTCTTTCAAAAACAATAATAAACCATTTTCTTTTCCTTTTTTCTTAATCTATGCGGTATTTATATTTACCTATTTGCTATGGTGTATGTATCCGGAAAAAAAATTATTTTTTTTTCTTAAGAATTAACCACAATTTTCAATCATCTAATTCTCTTAAATAGTCTCATACTTCTGATTATTGCTTTCCATAAAACCCCTCCATTCCCAACCGTTATTAAAATTTTTTTAGATTTCACGCAATGCTTTAGATTTTTCTTGCTTCAGGTATCAAGCTTGCCTTGTCTCCATGATATCTTCAGAACTAATTATGTCCCATTAATAATTCATTCAAGCTTGTCTGCATTATTCTACTATATTTTTTCAATAACATTTCATTTATTTTTTCAATCACATTGTCTTACCTTAGGCATCCTCGTGCTATCTTTATTCTCTTGATATCATTATAATCTTTTGATCGACAAATTTCTATTTTATTCAGAATCTGTTATAATTCTTCACACCATTAAATTGCCTTAATTCTCTTTCAAATGCATTAATAAACCATTTTCTTTTCCTTTTTTTTTTTAAAAACGGAATTCATTAAGCTTCCTTTATAACTGATTTCTTTTTAAATCTAGAAAGTGGTTATGCAAAATTATTCATTAGGCGGTTTACCCTAATACTCTTTGCTATTTTTTTCTTTTTTTGCTGCATATAATTTCGCATACATTCATGGAAAGCATTTTTTTTGGTCTAAAGTTTTTTCTATTTTTTCTCACAAGTTTTTGTATTTTTTAAGTTTTAATTAATTACAGCCATAATTTTTTTTTGCAATTTTTAATTTTATATTGTAGAACTCTGAAAAATTCTTTGGAGCTAAATGTCGATGTTAGTAAGCCAGTTTCTTTTCTGCGTTTCAGTCCAATCGCATCCAATTATTTGGCCGCGTGTTTCGAGGGGTATTTTTTTATATTTTTATATTTATTTTTTCTGGGTCTTTTTTGAATTTCAGTTTCATTTTTATTGTTGATTGTTGTATTTTTGTTTATCATTTTTCTTATTTTATAGTGGTCGAACAGTAGACTATTCATTGTTTATTTATGATTTGAATCGTATTCAGTTTCATCCATTTCGATTAAATACAGCTGATCGTATAAATTGTTCAACGTGGTTCAGGTGCTCAAAAAGTTTTTTTTGTAAATTCCCTAATCCATTTTTTGAGCCATTTATATTTTTATCATTATTGATATGACTATTATAAAAACATCTTTTAGTGATGATTTAAATATGCTTGTGGTTGGCTGTAATCGTACTTTAAAATTATTTGATATTCGTGAAGGAACACATCAGACTTATACCAAGTCAATGTCAAGTTGTATTCGTGCCCTATCATCTGACTCTTTCAATAATTATCGTTTCGCTTGCATGGCTGATGATGCTTTGCATATACTTGATCGTCGTCGTCTTTCGTCGACACATAAAATTCCATTACCGGATCGTGTAAACATTTTTATTGTTTAAGATGGTTAAATTTAGGAATATTTTTTTTCAAATTTTTTTCCCAAATAATCTTAGAAAGAAATTGGAAAATCTAATTAGAGAAATTTTTTCAGAAAAAAAATGATTCTACTAATGTTGAGTTAAGCTGGAATCCAACAACTCCAAATCATCTAACCTTTCTTCGACATTGCGCTCGATCTATCACAGATGTATTGGTGTTTTCTGATAAGGTTGATAATCTGGGAAAGGAAGAATCTCGTGCGCCAAAGGTTGCCTTTTTTTCTCACTTTTTTCGACAACTGTTTAGTGATTGCATTGATTGCGTTGCATAATTACGCAGAAAAAGGCCAAACAAATTTTAAAAGATTAAAAGATCGCGGAAGTCATGTCTTTTTCAAGAAAGTTGGCCATAATGAGGGAGTCAAAAACTTGTCTGTTATCAGTGATCCTGATTCGAAATTTTATTATGAAATCGTCCGAAATGTAAGTTCTTTGATATGCATTTTCACTCTTGATTTATTTCATAACTATGTTTATCCAGTCATATGATGCTATGCTTGCGTATAATATTCGTTCTAAAGTTTTTTAAAGTTTTTTGAAACTGGATATTTAGCAAGCCATAAGTATTGAGATTTCATAACGTTTGTCCAATTTTTTTGTATGATAGGGACCGAATCAAACAGAAATTAAGTAAATGTAAATATTTTGGAAACGTAAAATTATTGAAATTACTTGTAGCTGTTCGGATTATCGCGAATTTCTGGCTTTAATTGGCATCCGGTTGATAAATATCGATTACTTCTTACAGGCCCTGAAGAGGCTTCAAAATCCTACAGCGTTAGAATTGTCAGGGTATAAATTTCTTATTAAAAAAGTAATTTATGTTTTTTTTAAAGGTCATATTGGTATTTCCTTATTAACTTTGAAATTAAGCATTTTATAAATTTTTTCAAGAAATTAAATTGCCATAAATTTCTTTTCTTATGGATTAATACCATTTATTAATATTCAAATTTAAAGCCATGTTTTTATCATTACTTTTTTTATATTTTTTAAAGCTATTGTTTTTAGCTTTTAATTTTCATCAGGTCAAACCATTCGTTTGTGTTTCTTCTTCACCACAAGGTTATATTGCATCTTCGGTTAATAATGAGTTAAGACTACATGAAATCACGCCAATTCTCGAAAATTATCACATTGTTGATATTGGTAGTGTGATGCATCAAAGAGCTATAGATTATTATGGATGTTCTGGACATTTGACTTTGGGATGTTAGTGATTGTTATGCTCTGCTTATTGTAAATTATTTCTATAATTTATTTTTGTATTTTTATCATTATTAATTTTTTAGTATTTCTAAAAAATTAAAATATACATTCAAGAAGATGAAAAATGAACGAGAAATTTTTTGGTAAAAAGCATGTAGCTGTTCGGATTACCGCGAATTTTCTGGCTTTAATTGGTATCCGGTTGATAAATATCGGTTACTTCTTACAGCCCTTGAAGAAGCTTCAAAATCCTACGGCATTAGAATTGTCAGGGTATAAATTTCTTTTCAAAAGACGAGTAATTTTCCCTATAAATTTCTATAAATTTCAGCATACATTGGATCATGTAAAGAAGTAATTGATGATTGTCCATTTGCAAGTTCCGATTTAAAATGGGTTTGGAAATGGCTGTTCTCAATGCTGAATATTGTTGACTGGAAATATGATGTCTACGGAACGTGGTAAATTAAATAAATTGGTTACTTATTATCAATGTTACTTTTCAATCTGTCTCATATGCTCGGTATTCCTTTCCTACTTTCAATTAAAGAAGCAAATATTTCTTAATTATTTCCGCTTTTCTTTGCTATCATTTTACTATCGATATTTTTAGTTAATTTTAAGGTTTCCTGGAATACTTCAAATTATGCAAAAAGATACGTCAAACTCAATAGTTTCAGAGCGTATAAGTGTTAGTGATCTACTTTTGGGTCCCATGCGGGTAAATTTTTTGCAGTTTTTCACTATATTCAATGTTGGATGTTTGGTTCTTCCTTTTCCATCATTGTATATACCTTACTTATTATTGACTGAACTATCTATTGACGTATCTAATTAACTATCTTTCCATGTCCTTTAATCCAATGCCACTAAGCACATATGTCACTTTGTGGAATTCTTATTGGTACTTTCTAAAGCCTTTGGTCACTGTTTGGCTGGATGTTTGTAAAAAATATAATATATTATTTTTCAGATATATAGAAGTAAAGAGCGTAGTCGCATTTTAAGGTATTGTGAATGGCCATCTTATGGAAATCAGTCACAGTTAGATGCTTTTGTAGATGAAAACTTTGCACATAGGTATAGGCCGCTTCTTTATTTATGAGATATTCAATAAATATGGAATGTTTTTTATTTCAAAGGATTTTCTTTTTAATGAAAGGTTGGCCAATTAAAAGCCAATTTTCATAGAATGATTTTCCTAAAATTTCCCAAAAATTTGACTATCCTTTTTTGATAGTTTTCGTTGGTATTCGATTTTAGGGCTACTGAAAGTCGGGCAGTTGCTGCAGCATTATTTTTTGGCAATTCTTTGCGAATGAAAAATGTAAGTTTCTTCGGTATGTTTTTGCTGAAACAGATAGTGGGTTCCATTTGAGATTGTTTCGCTTTATTGCTTATTTCGAATTTTAAATTTATGTACGAAATTCTGATTGCATTTTATTTTAAAATTTTCCCTTTATTCCAAAATTTATTTTTGAGTTTCATTTCTCATTTTGGTACCCAGATTCTAATTCATGCAGAAGTTAACTAGTCTCTTTCAAAAAATCTTGGTGATGTTGGCGATTCATCTTTACTTTTATCGCTAAGTGACAGCGATGTAAGCCTAAACAGCCAGTGATGTAAGCCTAAACAGAAGTATCAGTGCTCTTATAACGAAGAAATCAAATTATTTCAATGGTTATTAGATTTTTAATATCAATAAGATTTATCAGCATATTCATTAATTTAGCTATTAAATACAATGATCGAGAAATATAGGATAGCAAACGATAATAGTTTGGTGGAAGTTGAAATTTTTTATGAAGCTATTGTTCAGTACAAAGGAATAATTGACCACTGGTGCGTTTCTAAATTAGTTCTGATTAATTTGAAAATTAATTTTCTAATTTTTTTGATTCCAAAAATTATTTTCTATTTTTCTGTGATTGAATTTTATGCATAATTTTTGTTTTGATGAATCATTTTAATTACTGTGGATTGGTTCTTCGCATGCTTTTTTGATGATTTGTTTTAATGGTTAACTTGTTATTTTAATTGTGTTCTTCAATTTCATCCTTTAATCGCAAAATTTATTTGAATTGTGATTGTGATTTTTATTTAATATTTTATATTTATTTATTATTTTTTAGGCGATCTGTTTCAGAAGGCCTGAGGAGAACAATAAGGAATCCATATTTCAAAATGATTTTAACGTTTTTAACGGGATATTGCGATAGCAGCTTGGACCTTACTATGATTCTTCACCAAGAGGTATCAAGTGGAATGTAAATGTATAAAGATTTTTTCGATAGGTTAAATATTTTCTGAATTTTCTTCCGCAGAAAATTTCTAATTTTTAGGATATACCATTGGAAGATCGCATAGCTTTTGGTGCTCTGCATCTTAATGATCAACTTTTTGTAAAAGGTATTTTATCCATGTTTAATGAGACAGATCTTCATATGAAACTACAAGGATTGTTTATTGTTGGTCTTACGCGAGACATTGACACACATATTCTTCTTGGCAAGTAAAATTTAAAATTATTATTGTTAATTTGTTAATTATTATTATAGAAACTTCAGAAACTATAAAAAAATTGAATGGTACGATTTTGAATAAAAATAATTATAGATATGTTGATAATACCGGAGATGTTCAGACAGCATCAATAATGGTAATTATTGGTAAATGTCTTGAATCTACATCATCCGATCATTTGGATGGAATGGAAGCATCGATTAATGATACTGATTTACGCACAACTATTGTTGATCAAGCGCACTTTTCGTATGTTCCATAAATAATTTATTTTCCTGATAATTTATCAAACTGAATTTACTTTAATTTCTTTTCCTATTATTTTCAAGCTTTGATTTCAGAAATTTTGAGTTTTTTTCTTAATTTGATAGATCTCAAGAAATAAAAATGTTCACTTTGGTTGATTATGATAGAATAAACAATTCAAGATGTTTATTATTTCATTTAATGAACAAAAAATTATAAGATTCCCTGATATCTAAAGTTCCTGGCAATGAATTCTAAATTTTCATCAACTAATGGATTGGAAGTGGTTTCTTTATTTTTTATTGAAAATTTGCGTAGTTTGACTTTTATCTGTTGTTTATTCAGCACTGGTATTCAGCACTGATTCTTGTGTCCTTTTAGACAAAAACATATTATTCGAACCAGCTCAATAATATGTGAATATCGTGAAATGTTGAATAATTGGAGTCTTTGGATTCAGAGAGGTCGAATCGATGGTTTATTACTTTGGCAAAGGAATATGGAAGGGAAACTACCTTTGGCTTCGGCTTGTTCTTCGGAGGTGCTATTTTTTTATTACAAAAATTATTTTATCTTCGGCTTCATGGTGTATTTCTTGATTTATTGAAATTTTTTTAGGTGGAAATATGTTGTCCGTTTTGCAGAAAAGGAATAACAGTGGAAAAATATGATGCAAGTTCTGATTTGCCTCGAGACACATCTAAAAATTTGAAGACTGCGGGTTCACCACAGTTGTAAGAAACTTTAGTTTTTTTAAATTTTTTGCGTTTTTAAATTTCTTTTTTATTTTGAAGGTCCTCGGCAAAGTTTCGTAATACAAGAGAACTTGCATGCCAAAATTGCTTAAAACCATTGCCAAAATGTGTGCTATGTCGAGGTTATATGGGATCTACGGTCGCTGCAGAGTGTGCTGATCTCGGTCGGTCTTCATCATGGTTCTCTTGGTGCCAGGTATTTTTATAAAATCTTCTCTAGTTTTCAATTGTGCGATAAAATTGCATTAACTTATTCAAAAAAATTTCGCATAAAAGTTTCTTAAAGGTTTGTCGTCACGGTGGTCATATTTCACATTTGAGGCATTGGTTTAGATCTCGTAGCGAATGTCCGGCTACAGGTTGTATGTGTAAATGCCAAGATATCGATACAAATATCAGTGGATCTTCATCAGGACGAGATTGGTATTGTAACTGTGATGATCCATAATTCTCTCCTCCATTTCTTTCGGTAACGTGCTTGAATATCGTTGTTTAATTAACATTATTTTCTATAATTTTCTCTTATCTTTATTTCTCTTTTCTTACGGAATTCACCGGTCGTTGAATGTGAAATTGCCATCGTTAACAAAAATGACAATTGTAAACTTGGTGAATTTCCCAATGTGACTAAAGATAGAATGTAGCAATTTTTTATTGTTAATTTAATAAAAATTTTTGATTTTGTTAGGTTATTTTTTGAATAATTTATTTTTCCACAAATATATTACTTGCAGACCTATTAAATGGAATTTATGCATTATAATAATAATTAAACATAGAAGATGGGTTGAATTCATTCTTAAATTTAAAAACAAATTGTTTAATAGGTGATTTTGAATCAACTGATGTCAGAACAGACAAGTAGAATTGTTAAACCATTGTTGTTGAGTAATTCGTGAGCACTTTCGCTTATAAATACACTGTTACGCTACAATTTACAAGTATATTATTTTTTTCGAAATTTTTTAAAATAAGGATTATGAAAGGAATGGCATTAAGGAATAATTTCAGTTCACAGTGAAATTAATCAAGGTAGAAGAATGAATCGAAATGAATAAATGAACCGAAGTTCAATTTAAAAGAGGAAAACCGTTGTATAAAAAAAATAATTGAAAAAAAATTATTTTGAGATTATTACTAATTTGTGGGAAATGTTTACTATAAACAACATTTTATTTTATTATCAAATCTACAATTATCATTTTAATTTGATTGCATTGCAGTTTGATGTTTACTGAAAAAAAAATAGTTGTTTTCTTTTTTGCATCTTTGTTAATATTTTATTATTTGTTAATTTTTCATTTTATTCGTTTTATATTATCTTTTGCTTTAAATTATTGCAATTTGCTCATAAATACTTGGCGTAATTATTGGTAAAATGATTTTAACATTTAAGGTGAATTTATTTTAACGATTGGCAAAAAAGAAGAGAAAAATTCTATAAAAGAAAAAAATTTGCAAAGAAAAGTATTTGCTTGGAACTACTTCGTATTTTTCCGCTATCGGCGCCATTTTTTTAATAAATACACTGATAAACACTGATAAATGGTTAGGCAAAAAATTGTTTATTGGTAGTTGGTACTTAATGAACATTGTTGGAGGTCGAGTGGTTTACTTTATTCATATTTAGTAAAATAGATCTATAGCTTTGTATTTGGCTATATACGAAGAGTTTTGGGGTATCGTGAATATTGCGGTTGCTGAACGATGACAGATTCGTAGAAAATAGATTATATTAGAGAGTGCAAAAAGCTATTTTAAAGATGGAACTATTAAAGATATTGACGCCAAAATATAATCACTGAGTCAGTCATTTCGACAGATAACAAGTTGCGTGAGCTCAATTCTTGTTTCTCAACGAGTGTAAACCTGTCATTAAGAGTGAAATCGGATTAACTATGAATGGCCTATCTTTTTTACGATTGCCAGTTGGTTCAATGAATGTGCCGCGCATGTCTGCGCTTCTTTTGTTGAATTCATTTGGCTATATTTGTAAAAAATTGGTAAATTAAATAAAAAATATAAATTTTTAATTATGAATTTGATAAATTCAATTAAAACAATAAAAAATTAGCGCATAATGAATTTTTTGAAGAACGCTTCCTAGGCTCGCATCGCTGACTTATCGGAACAAACAAATTTTACTAGTGAATTGCTGCTTGGCTGGAAATACGGCTAAGTCGCCGGCACTACTTCTATTCACGGATTTTACACGGATTTTCGCGATTAAAAGTCGAGCATTGGTGTTCGGAGATGAGAGCAAATAGCTTAATTCTACCTCGAAACATATTAAAATTAAGTTATGAGAGTCAGCTGTATCAGTTCTTTTATATAATAAATATAAACTATGATCAGTGGTCATATGATAGTTTTAATGAATGAACAACTGTTATCACTTATCAGTTATCACTCACTTTAATATTCCAACTTAATTACTCGCAATTATGACGAAATCCAATCCGAAAAATGTGAAATAACGAAGTAAAATCAACGAATTTAACAGTTTTTCAACTAAAGAAAATTTAAACAGATCAAAGCACAGTTGAATTAGATCAACGATGAGTTAGTTAGTTGATTAGTCACATTGGCCAGTTTTTCGTTTTCCTATTCGTAGACTGGTTGTGTAATTTTATGCGCTCTATCGTCGATGCTTAGGAAATTGCGTAGACAATCGTCGCTTCGTCCTATTTGACCTATTGCAGTAATTGTTATTATTTCTATTTCCTCTATTCAATAATTGATTTCAGTTTTCGCAATTTTTTAATATTCGCACCGAAGGACCCAATTCGAAACCATTTTGTAGACCATTCGTTTTTTTAATAAAGTGTAAATTCTCGATGGTCGTTTTTCTTTTCCTTTACTTTTTTTGCACTTTTTTTTTTCAATTTTCAATATTTCTCAATATAACGTTTTAGAAAAATAAATTTATTTATTTCAAATTTTTTAAAATTAATTTAAAATTAATGAATTTAATTTAAATTAATTTAATATTTCGTTGAAAACCAGTGCAAAAATGAGAATTTTATTTTGAAAACCATCATTTTTTTTTTTAGTCAAATTTATCAATTTTTAATTTTGTTTTAATTTTATTCTTTCTATTTAATTTATTTAATTTTTCATTTTTCCATTTATTTTTAAATTTTCTAATGAATTCGAAAAATCCGAAAAGTCTTTTTTATTTTTTAGTAGATTCTTTTTTTTTAATTTTCTAAATTTCTAAATAACATTTTTCTAAATTTTTCACTATTAAATTAAATTTAATTTGGATTTTTTTCCAATTTTTTTTTTTGCAGTTTAATCTTTTTGTTTTCGATTGTTCCGCTTCGAATTTGTTTTCGAAAATTTTAAAATATTTTCCTTACAAAATGTTTCTTTCGTACATAATTATCGCATTTCTCTGTTATTATTCGCCATTTGTTAAAGGTTATTTAAATTTTTTTTCCTCAGTTTTTCCTCAATTTTTCAATTTTTCAATTTCAATTTTTTTTCGAAAAAATAATTTATAAAAAAATCCGCTAATTTTTTTAAATAATTTATAAAATAATTTATAAAAAATCCGCTAATTTTTTTTAAACAATAAATATTAAATAAATAAATAAATAATAAAAGGGATAAATAAAAAAAAAGGAAAAAATGTTTAGGAAAAATTACATAAATGAAATTTTTTTATAAAAATCGTTCATTAGAAATTTTTATTTGAAATTTCAGCTTATATTTTTCCATGCTTGGATGGCTGTCAATGCGATACGAATGACGAAGCTATTCACTGTCATAGTGGAAAACGAATTTCTGTAAGCAATTTTTTACAAATGAAATTTATCAAAATACGATTGTTATAAGTTAATTTTATATAAAAATGATATATAATTTTATATAAAATATATAATTATAATATATATAAATATATATATAATTATATATATATATAATATAAATATAATATATAATTTTATATAAAAATGATAGTATAATTATGCGAAGACTAATTCCTACCTTTTAATCCTAAATTTAATGTTTCTCATTATCAGTTATCACTATCATTATCACTATCATTAAGAGATTTAAATAAAGGAATTATTATAATTTTTATCGATTGTAATCTATTTTTTAAGAACCAAAAATGAATTCAGTTAACTATGGTAAGAAGCGATGTTCTATTTTTTTTTTTTTCAGATATCCATGCCAGAATCGCGTCTTCGTGGTTTCTCTATTATTGGCATTACAAATAATAACATTCAAAAGCTTCCACCAGAAAGTGAATTATTAGAGAAGTTTCCCGATCTTCGAGTTTGTTTTATATTTAATTTAATTATTTTACACATTTTGACTAATAATATAAAAATTATAAAAAATTAAGAATTTTTATATTATAGGCGATCGACGTTGAAGGAAACAATAATCTCGACTGTGATTCTGTGAAATCTTTCGAAATTATTAAGGTTTATTTAAATTTTTTTTAAAGAAAAATCTACTAAAACTGTGATGAAATGAAATGAAATTTTTAAACACCTTGAATTTCACTAAAAACTTATCGTTGAAAAAAATTAATAAATTTGAAATTTAAAAAAATTTTCAAACAAATTCGAAAAGATTTAGGTTTACAGTCATTGTGAAGGGAGTCAGTCAGCTACTGTTATTCGTGGTCATCGACTTCCCGACATCGAAATGCCAACAGATGTTTGTTTTATTTGTTTTGCTGCAGAAAATATCTCTAAATTCGGTAATATGTGCTTAGAAAAGGAATGATAATCGTACGTGAAGAAACAATGAATCAGTGGGTCAACGGGTCATTCAGTTAGGAATTGAAAAAGTTATGATTTCAGGCATGCGATTTTAAATGCCAAGTCAAGAAACATTACAAGAATTTACGTACATATCTTCTTCAACTTTGGGAGGTTTGCCATTTTGAAATTTTAATCGATGAAATTTTGCAAAATATAATTCCGCTTCTATCTTTATCTTTCATTGTTAAATCTAGTAAATCTTGTTTTATCCGTATGAACTTGTTCTATCCGTATTTAACCAAATTTACCAGAAAAAATTATCGACTTATTTTTTTCCCCATTTTTTTCCACTTTTTTAGTGAAATATTTTCCTGTATAATAATATATATTTATAAAAGAGAAACAATAAAAAATGATAATTAAATAATGGAATGGTGAAAAGCATTTTTCAAATATGAAAAATCTTAAAAATTAAGCTTAAATTTTTTTTTATAGGTACTAAAAACGAAATATGCGGAGATGGATAAGGAAAAAATAATTCGCGATATTCAAAAATTTTTCGTGGACATGGGTGATAGATTAAATGATATTCGACACAACATAAAAGAATACGTAAATAATTGAAAATCTCTACTCATTGCCGGAAGATTTCTTAAGTTTTACTTATATATTTATATATTTTCGCTAACTCAAATCTCTTTTATCAGAAGAGATTCAAGCTTTTAGTTTAAGAAATATTTTATTTGTATCAATTTTATTTGTTTATATATTTATTTGCATTGTATTAATGTTCATTTATCCAAAATATATCCGATGACTCGCCATTATCCATCAATTTATTCTAAAACGCTGGTTTATAATCCATTTCCATTTTTTTTTAACTAACCAATTGATCAAAATTAGTGATCATTATGATAAATTAAATTTTATTTTTTTTACGAAATAAAATAAATCATTTATTATGAATATGAGTATCGCCTGAGCATCTACTGCAAATAATATAATACAATAATATAATACGAAATATTGAATAGTTTATCTACAAGATCCATTGTCCTTTGCCCTTCTTTTTATTAATCACTAGGAAGTATGTATTCGTCCTTTAGTCAACCATTTTTCTTCTTATCAACTATTCAAAATTTTAAAATAACACCATAAAAAAAAATCTGGTGAAAAATGGACACTATAGAACATTATAGACACAATTGATATCATAAAACAGGTAAATATTATAAATAAATTATGAATACAACAATTATAAATATAAAATTAAATATCAAGCAACAAAGTCATCGCTATAAAATACATTATTCTTTAAATTTTAAGCATATACAGCTAAATAAATAAATAAGATTGGTCGGAAAAATTTTGAAAAATTGAAATTTTTTTTAGTGAATCATTTTCTAATAAATTAATGATTTATAATAAAATAAATATTTTAATACGAAATTTTGAAACCATTCAAATATTTTGTGAGAGTGTCGTGAACCAATCGAAAAGAGAAAAATATAGCGCGTCTTATTCTTGCACGTTTATGCTTTTTGAAAGCTCAATAATTTGCCTAAAACTGAAAATTTTTGGAGTTATAATAATTTTAAGAAAAAAAAGCGAGCAGTGAACTTTAATTAATTAGCCAAAATGTTGAGTGACCGTCTTAAAACCAAAACTTTCGATTGCAATTCCTTTTCTTTATTTTTCCACTGCATTATAGTTTGTTTCACACCATCCATTTGCTTCCAGTCTCGTTGCCATCGAAGATATAAACGTTCCCATAATACCTTTAAAATTACAATAAATAAAAGAGGAAATTGAAAGAAATGAAAAGACTGCAAAGCAAAACTAATTTAGATAGTGGATTTGAGTTATTCTTCACTAAAAAGAATGAATATTTATCTACTTCCTAATGAATCAAGAAAAGACATACAATGCTTTGCGGTGCTACGCTTGGCCACAAAACTGATTGATTTGGCTCATAGAGAGCATTAACATACCCACGTAAAATTTCAGGATTATTCACATAGGACCATAATGAACAAGTGCGAATTTTAATTTCAAATTGTTGCTTATCTTTCTCATTATTTCCTGAAGATTTCATTTCAAGGGGACATTATTAAGCAATTTTAGACATCATTATAGTCATATTTATTTATTTATTGATAACCAGCCAAGCAGGGCGACAACGCCATGTGCTTGTATTAATAATAACAATTAAGATAACAGAAAAAGAAAACACAAAAAAAAATAACACAGACAAAATTAATTATAAAACAATATGACAAAAATTAACAATTTAAAGAGGAAATTAAAGATCAATATAATATAGTACAATTCGAAGTAACATATATAACCTGAAGATAAAATCGAGATTTCTCATTTCCTGCAGTTCTTGCCTGGTGTAAACTCTTCTCTTTTTTTAAATAATATCGTAAATGATATTATCTAGTCTTTTTTAAAAGACAGCTAAGGATGATGCACAAGCTACATCGTTCGGTAATTTGTTCCAGTAGTTAATAGTACGAATAAAGAAGTTATGAGTCCTTAGTTTAGTTTTGCATATAGGTTTTAGTAATTTTAAGCCATTAGTTCTTATTGGATTCAAATTTAGTCTAAAGTTATAATATTTCGAGCAATCTAATTTAACATAACCATAGAGAATCATATAATATAGTCATAATCGATAAATTAGGATTATTCTCGAAATTCGAGTAGAAAACGATTATCATTTTTAAAAATTGAACAATGATAATAAAAAGAACAAACCTAGAAATGAACCGAATTCGGAAGCATAAGCATGTTCAAAAAGAAATATTAGAAATTCTTCTGTGAATTCGAAAGAACAAGGAAATTGTTGATAAACCTTAATTTATAGATTTAAATATCTATAATGCAAAAAGTAAACTCGCTAATAACACGCTAATTTAAATGACTAATATATACGATGATCAAAAAAAGGGAAACTAATATATAAAAGCAAAAAAAAGAAAAGGATAACATTAGTCGAAAGAAAGATTTGAAAATAAACCTGCCAAATACAATCCAAAAAAAGAAGAAAAACCGGAGATTCATAAGGTCCTGTGACACTACCACTTGCATAAGCCGAATGTGCACAACGAAGTTGGAAGGGATGACCAGCACTGATCCATTCACGTTCAATGAGTGATTGAAATCTGAAAAAATTACGCCGACTTGTTGATTATTTCTAAGCTTATTAAAAACTACTGCCTTTTTAAAAAAACTACAATAATATTCTACATCAAAAAATAAAAAATTGGTTAAGGAATATAAATAAACAAAAATACTGGCATCAAATATTAATAATAAAAATATTAAAAAACAAAAACCCTCTAATAGTGCGTGCATCAGAATCGAGAAGCAACTGTGAAATTGAAGTGACAAGAAGAGTAGAATCCGTTCCTTCACCTCCGTGAACGACAACAGGCACTTCTCAAAAGCAAAAATCATTATTTGCTTAAATGAAAATTATAACTACATATAATTATTAGAAAATTTATGAATATTTACAATATTAGCAAACTTCAAAAATGAAATAAGTACTGAACTATGGAACCACTATCAATACTAATTATTAAAATACTTATAGATAGACAAAAAAAATATTTCAAAAAATATTACTGTACCTAAATTTTTCCCACAATGAATACATTGAGCCACCGTTGCAGCTGACGTTAGTGTATCTGCAACAGCTTGAAGCCATCCACATGAACCGAGTTTAGAAAGCCAACGATCGACGGACTGGGGCGAATCATCACACACTGAGGCAAAAAAAAATTAAATTCTCCAAATTTTCGGAAAGAATCTGATTTTGACCGAATATGTAATTAATACTTACCTAAACATGGATAATACTAGAAAAATTCCTGGCGCCTTATCCAAGAAAAATGCTCAAAATACCACATATTGAAATAAACATACATTCCATAAGCTTGCTTAATGCATCGCGAATTTCTTTTATACGAGGAACTGCACTATTCACATATTTCCATTGAGAATAATATACTTGCGGCTCACAACCACCTCCTGTAGAAATGACACTTATATACGGAAATAAATGAACAAAATTTCAAATGAATTGCAACCACAATTATAGAAAATCCTTTTTTTCTGAAATGAGATCCATCAGCTAATCCTCGATTTTTCGAAAAAAATAAGCTGTTGCTCCAACGACTTCGAAAAATTTTGAATTTATTTCAATTTAATTTAATTAAATTTAATTTAATTTTTAATTTAATTTAATTTAACATGTTAATTTAAAATAAAACCTTTATTTTTGGAACTAGAAGCAATCTGTTTGGATCGAGTATCTAGTATAATTCCTTTACTCGTTGAAGAAAGAACGGCATTGAGGATTGATTCATCTTCTTTGCACCTTCGATTCGCTGGTCCAATTAGAGGCTGTCCACAACGCATTATGCATGACTTGAATAATATCAAATTAAGTCATTTTTTAATAATTTTAAAATGTGGATCCCATATCAATCTGAACAAAAGAATTCAATAACAAGTAAAATTCGTAGAAATTAAAGAAATATTGAGGTTTAAAATGATTTTAAATTAGAGAAAAATTGAACTGATATATAAACAAAAATTACCTTTGTTTCGTGATGATAATAACTCAAAACTGGAAATCGTCCACCATCTCGAAATGTTGCAGATATACGTAAGTAATCATCACCAATTCCCTTCGGAACTATAACTTTATCAGGATAGGATGGGCATATCTGCAAAAATCATTATTATATATTTCAAAATCACGTATTATAAAAGAAATCCCATTCCTTGTGGGTCATATGGATCAATCTCTGATCCTCCACCAGAGGTCTGGAAGACTGAGGTAAAGTAGATAAGATGGTTCCCCAAGGACTCTCACCAGAAAGATATAGAGAGTTGCATATATATATATTTATATATGTATACAGGTTTACTCCCACGGGGAATCGAACCTCAGCATGCTCAATTGGGAGCGCCGATGCTGAGGTTCGATTTTCCGCAGGAGTAAACCTGTAAAAAAATCTGAGTGATGCTGGTGATGCTCACCTGTATTTATATCGCCATACATATATATTATATATATATGTATATAAAGGATACGAAATAAAGAAACTGGGGTTTCTGGATAAAAAAGTTTCTCCAACAAACTACAGCTATGCAAAAATAAAAATAATACCCTGTATTTCGCATTAACACTACTGATACGCCAACCCTCTTGGCATCGTATCATTAACTTGGCATATTCTTGCTCAGTGTCAAATGCTGTCCAACCATTATCAAGTACTGTGAATGGGCACCGATAATAAAAAGGATATTCATGTTGGATACCACCTAAAAACAAGAAATACTATAAGTTTTACAATCATAAAATTATTTTAATTTTTGCAGCAAGAAAAATCATATTTAAATGTTTAACAATAAATCAACAGATCAACAAATAGCGAATAAATTAAATCCGTAAAAGACTTACTTAAATTAGAAAGTTTACCAATTGAGCGTGCGACTGCCATACAACTATCGATATTATTAATTTCGAAAATACAAATCATAAAATTTTTACATTTTAAAATAAGACTGCCACCTTTTGAAGGATTTTCCTTACTTAAATTTTCCACAGTGACACGATCGACTGCTCGATGCAAAAGCTAAAAAATTAAGTTAAAAGTTTATTTCATGAAAATTAAGAATATTTCATGAAAATTAAGAAAATAAAAATAAATTAAAAAATTCGAAAAAATTGAGAAAGCAACTTTTCTCTTTTTAATATCAACAATTTATCGACTTATCATCCTTCATCTACAGAATCTTTATCAATGACATTTGACATTCGTCAAAAATACATGAATGTCGCCAATTTTTTTAGCGACAATTTATATTAATAATAATGATGATAAGATAAATCGAAACAATTAAGTAAATTCGTTTGTAATTAAATCGAAAATTATCATTTAAAAAAAAAAAAAAACAAACCCAAAGCTCATCAGGATGATGACTGTTGGATTTTGTTGCAGATGGTGCTGAAAGTGGTGAAAAAATCAAATGATGACCGATTAAAGCGAGTGAACCTATTTGTGGACGTCTCGGACCCCTTATTAAATAAACATCGTCGATTCGTTGTAGTTCTATTGCTTCAGATAATTCCATTTCCAAATAGAAAAGAAAAAACAGCTGGAATAGCAAAAAAACAAAATAGTGAGACGATATGGCCAAATATAAGACAAATTATGGAGCAACAGAATGGGAAAAAAAATAAAGAACGACGAAATTCCCTCATTCACCACATCCAGGTCACCATTAAAAAGTAACAGGAAATTATTCATCTTAAATGACCTATGACCTATGAAAAAAGACGATGGAAAATTTCAAGTCTTTCGAAAAAATGAAGCGATTGTTTATATACCAATTGTCGGCCAAAAAACCAATCGTTCATGGTGATGATAAGATAAGGTGAAATGATAAAACAAAATGAAACTTCTTCACTGATAGGAACGACATTGATAATTCTAGAGATATCGGTCCGAATTATGCCATGCGTAACGATAGAAATTTAGCCGAATGTGAACGCTGAATACCGATGTATTTTGAACATGATAAACTCGGATGACAGAAAGTTTTGTGAGGGATATGAGAGGAAGGGGCGGAAAGGGGGAAAGAGAGGGTACGGGGAGTGGAACTGGGAAGCGGTGCGAAATATGAAAGTATATGTCAGGAATTGACTGAAGGAAGCAGCCAAATATTTGTCGCTTTTTTTTTTATTCCTTTTTAAAATTATTTATTAATTATTATTTTTTTATTTAATTCTAATAATTTTCAACTTGTCTTTTTATTTTTATTTTTAGTTATTTTATTTTTTGCAAATCTGATTTGAAAAAAGGATGAAATTAATTAATTAATTCTTCCGAATAATTTTGTGGGTCTATTTATACTTCTACCAACAAGTGATTCTTTGGCAAAATAAAAATCACTGATCAGTAATTCTTATCACTGATAAGCACAAGCAGAAGAGTAATTAATGCGAATAGCCAAAAGCATAAATTATAATTATAATCACAAGATTTTTTATTTTTCTTTTATGAGCGCCCAACATTTCCGGCTAGGCTAGCATCGCGGACTTGTTGGATCAAACAAATTTTACTGGAGATTTTTATCCTTTTTTATCATTTGGCGATTGAAATATAGTTGAGTCGTCTATATCAGCCGAATTTTTGAAAGATAGGTTTACTTTTGGCTTATGTGGAATCTTAAAATCGGCGCTGTTAAATTTGTCAAATTTGCTGATCGAAATTTTCATTTAAAATTTTATTTTAGAATTTTAGAATTTTAAGAGAAATAAAAGAAATACACAAAAAACAATTCAAAAAGAATTTAGAATTCACTAATCGTCAGTATTTTCATAGCTTTTTTTCTTTATTGCTATTAGTTTATTCCATCTTAAAATTATAATTTAGTAAATTTTAAATAAAAATTGTTTAAATTAAATTTAAATAAATAATTTTAAATAAAAATTGGTTAAGTTGGTTAAATGAAAATTTAAAAATCAAATAAATTAAAATAAACTCATGAAATATAAAGTTTTTTAATGATTAAGCCAATTGATTCAAATATATTCCGATAAATTTATTTTTTTTATTGTTATTTAACTAAGTTTTGATTAGTGGTTGTCAAATTGCTCTCTGCCGACCTACTGGACTCTTTACGAATCTACTGGACTATCTGCAAATCTACTGGGGCTCTTTGCGATTCTACTCTACTGGATTCTACGAATCTGCTCCATGCGGATCTGCTGGTCTCCTTGGCAATTTTCAAATGATGCATTGGGGCCTAATTTGAATTATATATATTCATATTCTATATGAAATAAATTATTTTGTTTATTTTTTTGTTACTTTTACTATTCAGAATTCTTAGAAAATTTAATTAGATGTTCCAATAATAGAGATGTTTTTTAGCGAATGGAATAATTGAAGAGGCTTATATATTTGAGCATAAAGAAATTGAGCAAAACGATGTGTTCTTCATCGCCATCAAATCAACTTAATAAGCAATCAAAAGAGAAATTTGTTTGTGGAGTTGTTGAAGGCAAATAATCTACTTTACTATTACTTATGTTTGCCACTTATATCGTCAATCATCATTTAGTTGAGAGAATTTTTTTTTTTTGTTTTTTCAGGATTTTATGGTCGACCGTGGGCAAATGATCAACGACAAGAATTGTTTCGCTGGATGCAGAAATTTGGCATGAACACGTATCTATATGCACCAAAAGATGATATAAAACATCGTTATGATTGGCGAAAACTTTATACAACAGAAGAGCTTGGTAGACCATTTTTAAGTTTTTTTTTTCTCTAATTTTCGCACATTTTTTCTACTTCCAGATGGTTCTTTTTTTCGTCACAACTAGTTTTCTTCGGCTAACAGATTGCACCGTTTCTGATTTGGCTGACTGGCTTGCTAACAGTCATTAGGATAAGATTTATCCAGAAATTACTGATATAAAGGTAAAATTCTCAAGTGAAATATCACTTTTATATATACATATTAATTCATATATTTTAATTTCAGATTTGCTTCAGTCGCTTATAAATGCTGCCAAAGAGTACAAAATCACTTTTGTTTATTCACTTTCTCCGGGTTTGGATATTACTTATTCCAGTGATAAAGAAGTGCAAGCTATCAAGGACAAATTTGATCAGGTTTTTATGTTGATAATTTTCTGTAATCTAAAAAATTGAATTCATGGTTAACAAATTTTGCTTTGATTTTTCTCTTAAATCCTTGTCAAAAGAATTTATTCGCCATATGGCTAGGTCTATTTCTACATGTAACGTTTCAAATTTTCTATTTATTTTTTTGCTGACATTTTCTTGCATTATATTTTAGGAATCAGGGAAAATTTGAGAATTAAGTTGTTAACCAAATAGTTTAAAAGGATTTTTTTCCAATATTTTCAAGATTATATTTTCATGAGTAAAACATCTTAAATTTTCCAATTTAACTAGTGTTATTTATCAGTTATAAATTAAAATTGATATTTCTTTGAGTGAAATAATATAATCATGTAATTTATTTAAAACAATTTTTGATTAGTTAAATAAGCTAATTTAATTTGGGAAACTCAGCATATTTGAGTTGCTCACATTATTGCTTTGAACCCTGTTTATTAAGAATCCAGATGACTCTGTGGGCACGTTTATACCCAAGTGAATCCCTGCTAAAACTTCTTATAGCAGTAGGGAGAGCTTAATCAGATGTGATAATTGCTTATCTTTTTTTATTTTCAGCTTAATCAAATATATTATATTATTGTTCAAGGTTAAATCTATTGGATGTGAAGCTTTTGCTTTACTTTTTGATGATGTTGATGCAATAATGCATGAAGTGGATAAATCGAAGTTTTCATCGTTCGCAATGGCTCAAGTAACTGTAACAAACTTGATTTATGAATATTTGAAATGTCCTGTATTTTATTTCTGTCCTACAGGTAAGAATTCGTTTTTTCTCTATAATTATATTATCTGATAATGGTATTTGACACTGTTACTTATATTTATAAATTAGTTTAATGATTTTTACTTAGCATATAATAAAGGAATAATAACACTTATGAATAACATTTATATAATAACATGAATGAATAATAATAACATTTATTGTTATTGTTGAAACAGGAAGTATTGCATATATTAGAATATCTTAGCATTTTGAAATATGAGTAATAATAATCATATTTCTCTGAAAAAAATCACGGATAAATCTATCGACTTCATTAAATAGGAACTCTTTAAATAAATTACATCTCTTTACAATTTTCATTTCACTGAATTTCCAGAATATTGTGAATCACGCGCCTTTCCTAGCTTACAAGAATCGGAATATCTTTCATTTCTTGGCAAAAAGCTGCTTCCAGATATTTACATTTTTTGGACGGGTATAAATTTCGTTTAAATTTCGTTTCGTTTACGGGTATAAATTCATATTTTAATCTCATTTTTCTCCAATTTTCTCTCATTTTTATCATTTGAAATGAAATTTGTACCAAAATTTTTCCCACGAATTCGAATATTTTTAATCGTTTTAAAATAAATCATTTTATCTAAATTATTATGGAAAATATACAATATAAAATATATAACATATAGAATTTTTTTATTAGGTCCGAGAGTAGTATCTCGATCGATTACTATTGAACATATGAGGAGTGTGGCAGATATTTTGAAGCGTAAACCAGTTATCTGGGATAATTTGCATGCGAGTGATTATGATGCGAAACGAATTCACCTTGGTCCATTTACTGGGCGGTTAGATTTAATAGCAAATGTTTCAGAAAAATATTTGTTTATTTTCTTCTAAAATAAAAAATTTAGATTTAACTACATCTAATTTTTTGACATATTATGCCCTCTCATATGGTATAATATGATCATTTGAAGATCTGTGAAGTTAAAAGATGAAATAGCTGGTTTATTGATGAATCCGAATTGCCGACTTGAAGCAAATTTTGTTCCTCTTCACACAGTAGCAGAATGGAATTTATGTGAGGATGATGCAGAACTGGATGGAGGTATATGCTTTTTTTATTTATTTTAATTTAATTTTTACTTGTCATTTTTACTTATTATATTATTGTGCTATTAAATATTTCTTTATTGTTTTTAATATAATGAAATTTTTTTAATAAATTTCCTAACATGTAGTTTCCATGTAGTTTCTCAAAGTTTTGTATATTCTGTTTTAGCCGAAATTATAATATTTTCCTCAATAAAATTTAGTTTTTTAAATTCAGCCTTTGATTCGGATGCTATACTTGAGGCAGGTGATATTGCAGTTGTTGCTGCTTATATTGTTGAGGGTGATAAATCGAAGCGTCTTTACCATCCGTTAAATGCGTTAAATGAGGCTTTGAAAAAATGGTACGAACGTCTATTCACTGAAGTTGAAATCACGCCGTATGTTGCATTTTATCGTTTAAAATCAACATTTTTTTGAATCTTTGAATTTTTTTTTGAATTTTTTTTAATTTAAAAGGCAGTTTTATCTTTTTTTGCGGGAGCAGCATGGGAAGACCAGTTTGAAATTTTTTAAAATTTACTCTGGTATCAAAAATTTATAGCTCATGCCAAATGGAAACTGAAGCACTAACTTCAATTGTCGAAAAGCCGCCTTTTTTGGACAGTAACACTGGGCGACCACTTTATAAAAATTTAGGCAATATGTTGACGCAGAGCAGTTCAGATCCTCAGGTAATTTATATTTTCATTTGTATGCATATATTTTAGTAGTGTTTCAAGTTTTATTTAATTTCCATTTATTAAAGTTTATTTCCGATTTTGTTTAAATTTTTAAATTGTTTAAATTTTATTATTGCAGATGAAACCTACCATTTGTGCAATGAATTCTCTAAGTCCGGATTATAGCGAACCTATGGATTTGATTACTCTTGCTAAGGTAAAATATTTTTTCAATGCGTTTGAACAGTGCGCTTGTTCTTATTCATTTTTTTGTTTTTATATTATAGGATGAACCAAAAATACTTGTCGATTCTGATTCGTCTAATAAGATGAATAATCAAGATATGGTCGATACCTCGTCTGATGTGAGTATGGAAAGCAGTATCACGACTGATTCAGGGTGACTTATATCTTCAATCGTTCTTTATGATTAATTGATTTTTCACTCTATTCCTTATCATTTATGAGGAATATTTTATAATTCTTATAGCGGAAGTGTGCAACCGGAACATTTGGCTATGTTCGTAGATTTATACTACCTTCCTTTTGAGCATGGACGAAGTTGTATTCAAATATTAGAAGAATTCACTTGGCTTCATGAAAATTCATTTGTTATTAAGAAGAAGAAAGAAGCGAGTGAAAATAAAGTAATTTTATTTGTTTAAACTTGAAGTTCGGTTTTAAGTTCAATATTTTTTGAATGGCTCAAGTTTTCTTCCTTTTCAATCAATAAGCAATAATGAAAAAGAAAAGAAGAAAAGATCTTTTAGAATGTTCAAACTATTATTAATGAAGATTGGAAACGCCGATGCGACAGTCTGTTACGATTGCTTCACAATCTAACAAAATTCTACCAGTTGCTAACGGCACTTCCCAATAAGGTTTCTTAAATAGTTATGAAATAGTATAGAATTACATATTACATTTTTACTTAATGAATTGATAAATAATACGGGAAAATAAGCTTATTTTTCTGGGAAACACTGAATGAAGGATTTTATAAATTAATTTTTATCGTATAAATGAAATTAATATTGCAAGAAAAACTTTTGTAGTTCATCAACTTTTGTAGTTCATCAGCTGGTTGTATTTTAGGCTGCTGTGCAAGATTTGTTTCAATACGTGTACGAAATTCAGGGAATAGCATCAATGCTTGAGGTCATACTGTTGTGGATGGCAGATGGCGGGCTTACGAGTGCGCCTCGGGGTTAATTTTTTAATTTTTGGCAATAAAACACATTGAAATATGGAATTGGAAATTGGTTTCAAAATTATTTTTTCCCATTTTTTTTTAATCAAATCTGCAAAACATTCTGATGATCAAGATTAGAACTATTTTTATTCGATTATATTGGAATTTATTGAATTATAAATTTATTGAAATTGAAAAATGCTGTAGATTCCGATTATTTTTGGCGGAAACCAATGATCGATGGTGAACCATGGATAGTGTCAGGTGGTTCTGTTTCCGATCTACTTAAGCTTCTTTTTGTGACCCCTAATATCATGGATTTAATAACATTGAAATCTGTCATTCCTCTGTTTCTCAATTGTTTGACAATGAGGCCTTACAGAGATAAAGACGAGGTAATAGAGATTCTTTATAACTTAAATAACCGTTTAGTTTTTTGTCTTCATTGACTTTTAATTAAATTAATAGACTCATGTAATTTGTAACCTACTTAATGGAATTCTCGATTAGATTAGAATAGAATTAAGTTAAATTTTTGGCACCAAAGATGTATTTTTTTTAGAAAGAAATATATTCATTATATGCGCAAGATGATTCTCTCTCGACAAACTTTGACTTTTCAAATGATTGTAAAAGCGAGCAATCTTTTGATAGGTATTTAAAATTTTTTGAACTTTTGTTTTATTAAACTATTTTGTTCGTTTGTTTAAGTGGTTAACTCATATACTTAATGACTGTTCCATTTTTGACGATTTGGTATATGTGACCATATTATTGTTGTATCGTTATTTTCCATTAATTAGCTCTCATTTTTAATATTTAAGGAACAGTTGAGAGAAAAAATGATTAAATCATAAGGTTGTTGTCTAAGTGACACTGGAATTATTAAAAATAGTCTAATTTAATTTAATATGATTGTCAATATCATATATTTTGATTTTAAATTATTTCGCTTATTTAATTATTGAGTCCTCGCAGTTTGTTGAAAAAAATAAAAATTGTTTAAAAAATTTGAGATATTGATTAGGTTGAACAATTTTTTGTCATTAACGATTATTAATCTTCAGTCAAATCGTGCCATTTTTGTCGCATTCTGAACCTCGCATCTCATTTGTTGCTGTTGAAAACAGTTCATATGGAAAGCGCATTACAGCTTTTTCTTGTGCAGTATTAAAAGCAAAAGAATTTTCTAAAAATGTTAGTTCCGATATTTTTATGAAATTTCTAATAAAAGAAAACAGTGGCGAGTGATTCTCATTATTGTTGAAGAACTCATTTTGCAATTTGATGCTGCATTTGATAATTTTTTTAACGATTTTAAAGAATTCTTGGTTTTGATAAATTTTATTATAAATTTTGTATAAATTTTATTAAATTTATAGGTTCAAAATGCATATACTTCGAAAACACAATTAAACTACGAGGCTTCACCTGAAATGGAGGAAAATGATTGTATTGAAGGTTCAAAATTGGTAAGTAAATGTGTTTTAAGAGAAGTTTCATTAATTTCATAAGAGATTTGGTTTCATTTTTGTTCATTATCGCTCAAGTCTTTTAAAAGACAAGTGCCGCCAAATTACATTTGGTGATTTCAAGAAATAGTGATAAGATACGAGAATGAAATCGTAGGCTGGAAAAAATTATATTGCCTACATGAATCATCTTACCGAACGATATATATTTCATTTCTGTTGTGAATTCAATGTTTTAATGGTTGAAGCAGTCGGAAGAAATTGATAGCTGCGTTTCTTTACAATTGTCGGATCAATTTTATGAGCATTTCCCGAGTCAAGTATATTTATTTATTCAAATAAATGCATATTTTTTGCGGTTGAATCCAAATTTCAAAAAATTTTTATTCAAACTGCTGAATGATGGAAAATAAATGAAATATTCTCTCAATTTTTCTCTCATTTTTTTGCACCTTGGCATATTTTTTTGAATTATATTCTTGGCTTTTTGTACAATATAATTTTGATTCAAAATAGGTCGAAATACGGTGGCGTAGTACCAATCATGATGCGGTTGCTGTTCGAAGGTTGATTTGTGCATCTGCTGCAGCTTTGTCCTTTAACGGTCTTATTTTTCTTATTCTAATAATACTTTTTTGAAACGTATTCTTTATAAATTGATTTTCTTTAAAAATATTTTTCCCTAATTTCGATATAATCGAACATTGGAATAAAACATCTTTTGTGTGGATTGTGACAATGCAGTTTTGGAGATGAGAAATGTAAATATCATTTTTCAAGACGACATTGTTTTGGTTAAAATCCCTTTTTCTGAATATTTTTCAATTCATTTCATTTAAATAATTGCCAGTAATTTAAGTAAATTGTTTATAGGATCAACGGGACTTTTCATGATTTTGAAATCAACGGAGCACGAAAAAATTGATTTTTATATAAAACTCGGATTAATTCCTCTAACGGTAGATAGATATAGTTCTTTCATTTATTTTTTTCATTTTTCTTCTGTTTTTTTGAAAAAATTTTATTTAAATTTGCTTGAATATCGTTTGCACTCATTTATTAATTACTAGAATTAAAAAAATGAACTAAAATTTAGAAGAATTGGTTTTTTTCTGTCGAAGAATATTTAAAATGATTTTTGCAAGAAATTCATTAAATTTAACCTTCGCTTATTGTTGTTTATTTAGTATAAGGAAAGATATTTAAGTGAAAAGTTTTATTCAGTTCAGTTGTTTAGCTTTGCTGGAATTCAATAATATTGGTATATTAAGGTGGAATTGTTTCATGGAAAATTTATAGGAACTTTAATAGTTTTTCAAAAATTTTGGTAAATATTTTAGCATTAAATCTATCGATATATATATAATTTGACATTTTTGATTTGCTTCATTCATTCGTGGTAATTGTAATTCATCTGAAAAAAAAAAGCCATTAAACCTGATTTTATACGAACAATTTTTATGCTAATAGAAGTCAGCAGTAGTAAATAATAAAAATTAATCGTGATTTCCCTGGCTGAAAAAATATTTTTTTTAATGAATCTTTTTTCGAAACTATTATTTTAATATACAAATATTTTAAAAATTTATTAAAAAGTACAAATTTTATTATAAATTAATAAATTTTCAAAAAGTATAAATATTATTTTTTAGGAATCAGTACCAGATGGGTATATATTACTGGGTCATTTATTATAATGCTGCTAGGCTTGTACAGTGACAGTCGTTTTCATTTTATTTCATCATATTATATTTATTTGTTGTATTAATGATGTAAATAAAATTTTGTTATTTATTTAGTAACCAAATTATATGATAAGAGATTTTATAATTTTATAGAGATTATTGCAATTTAAAGATTAATTTTGATAACCAAAAACTGTTAAGCAATTGATGTTTGTGAAAGATAGAAATTCTACGTACATTAGGAATAATTTTTTTTTTTTGCATTTAATAGAAGTACCACTGCTTAAGTTACGTGTCGCTTCGGCTATGAGTAGTGGTTCGATATAGTTTTTTTTTGGTGAGAGTAAACTTGTCATTAAAATGAAATCCTTGTGATTGTTTGCAGTTCTGCTGTACGTCTCTCCACAAGTGGTTGTGTGCAACAACTAAACCAGTTGAAAATTTTTAAAATAAAAATATTTAATAAATGTTCATTGGTGCAGAATAGATAAAAATATAGAAAATTTATTAATAACAATTTCGATAAAATTTATGGATTTCATAAAAACAAAAAAAATGCGATAGAAGAAAAGAGATTTTTTTGAAAAAATTTGTAAAATTTCCCAGTTGGTTTATGGCTCAGACAAACTTGGCTTCGTTAGTTTATTTATTTGGTATATTATCGATTATAAGTATGTAAGTAAATAAGAAATTATTGCGAAAATTAATGAATGAGCTTCGATTCGCTCTACGACGAGAACACTGGAATTTTGTTGATGCACTTCAGCTGAAAGCATGCGTTTCTCCTTTGGCTCGTTTTTAGAAGGCCTTCATATGATAACTCTTTTGATAAAAAATCAGTGGTAGGTCAATGGTAGGCTTAGGCTTAGGATAAGGTGGCATAAGGTGTCGCCGAAACGAAAGAAGACTATAAGGAAGAAGAATTCGGCGTTATTGCCTTAAAAATTTATCTTTGCAAAAAATTGTTCAACTGGTGAAATTTGTGGATTCTTAATGAAAATTAATAACCGAAGAATTATTAGTGAGGTGTTTTAAATCACTTAAGAATGTGTAAAAAAAAATAAAAATGGTGACGACGGTGACAATGTTGGTGAATAATGAATCTCCTCCGATTGTACTAAAATTTACGTTCATTGAAATCGATCATTGATAGAAAAGTGATTAGGAAAAAGACAATCAAATCTATTCTCATCACTTCACTTATTTTATTCATTATTATTTATTCAATTTATTTTCGTAAATTAAATCCATTGAAAGTGAAATTTTCGCCGAAAATTTTCAACAATTATCTTTCATAAAAATATTATTTTTATAAAAATTTCACAAATTCATTCGACAACGAATGAATTTATTCATTTTCTATTGTTTCAAGTGGAATCGTTCGGTTTTTAAATAGGAAAAACTTTGAAAATAATTCGAAATAATTTTAGAATATGGAATTCTCCCGTCTAATCGCTCGCAATAATTTTCTCTTAGATTCATTGGCTAAAGCAATCTCCAAGGCATTTGGCCATCCGATTTGGCCACGTCAACTGAAAATAATCGCAGCCACTTCTTTTTCCATCGTCCAAGGCCCATATGGTGCTTGGACTCCCTAAATATTCAAAATCTCTCTATATATAAACTGCAATAAATATAAACCAGTCGAGGTTTTGATTGGCCATCTTCGCTTTCCATCAGAGGATTTGGCAAATAACGATATCTGATAAAGACTTCTGATTGTTTTTCGCGTTTTGCGTGGTAGATTTAAGAGATTAAAGCGAAAGCGAGATTCTCTTGCCGAAGATTCGCTTGCGGATAGAAATTCAATTAATGACAATTCGTCAATCCGGAATAGCACTTCTTTCTTAAATTCATGATGAATAGTTAAATTCGCTAATCTCTTCGCAAAAGAATGGTTGGTTGGATTCGGCTGTTTCCTTATTAAATAAATAGCTTGTCTTCAATTGAGTGGAACTATAAACCATAAAGTGGTTTCCTCTGTAACTACCTTTTAGGTCAATTAGGTCATTTAATCAAATTGTCCTCATCACTTATGTTTCTCTTTTATTTTCAATTTGCAAACTATTGAAGCAGAATTAAATTATCTGCCTTGTCATCCTTGTCGTTGACTTATTTTATTTTAATTTCTTCTTTTAAGAACCCCGTGCATTAATTTACGCATATATATTATATGTACCATCGAAAAATGCTGCTTAGTGTCCAGTGGAGCTTGTCAAATGGTGAATGGTGCCTTTAGAAAAAGGACAGTGAAAGAAATTAGAGTAGATTTCATTCTATTCTACCTATTTTTTACAAATATTTTACTTTTCTTCCTAATCCTTTAACCTTGTATTCTCATAATTTTCATCATTTGCAAATACTAGAAATAACAAAAATTAATCATTTAATCTATTTGGTGAATGAATTAAAGCTGTTAATTATTGTAAATCTTTACTGATTAACAAATCTATCGTCGTCGTCATCAGACTAATCCATTTGACGATAAATCCAAGCAAATAATACCATTGAGCAATACGATACGCCTAAATCAACTACAAATAATCCGAGTGACAGTTGTGCAAAAATCGGGGAATTAGGCAAATTCATCACGTCGGGTGATTCGAATCGACTCTTTAGATTTCAGATATTTATAAAATAAAATATTTTTTAATTTTTTCTGCTTCAATATGGCAATGGTTAAATATTGCCTCTTTTCCTGGCTTAAATGTTCTATTCAAAATCGAATAACTAATTCTCTATTTTTAGACGAAATTTATCCCAAATTCTTTTTTGCATTCTTTCATAAAAATCAAATGGTGCCACGATTGGTTGTTTTGTCACCTTATGGAAACCTACCACGATTGGTTGTTTTGTCACCTCACGGAAATCTACCACGATTGGTTGTTTTACCACCTCACGGAAATTTTTAGTTCAGATTTTTTCGTTCCGAAATTTAATCGTCAAAATCTAATTTTTAGCTAAATTTATCATTTTATGTGATTTAAAACACTTAAACCATAATTAAAATCTTAAAACTTTCAATAATTTTGAATAGCTTTTAAATTCTTCAAATAAATTTTTCAATTTATTTTTAGATTTTTTCCATTTTAATTAAAAATAATGAAATTTAATTGGGTAAAAAAAAAATGAAAAGTGAAGAAATATATATTTAAAAAAAAATAAACGAAAAATTAATTTAAAATATTCTAAAAATTTAAAAAAAATAAATAAAAATAAATAAAAATATTGAATAAAAATATTAAAAATATTTATATATATTTTAAATATTTCCTTTTAAATATAATTAATATTGCATATATTAAATATATTTAATATAGCATATATTAAATATTTTTATTAAATATTTAATATTGCATATATTAAATATTTTTATTCAATACATTTAATATTTTATTTGATACTAATAAAATATTAATATTAACATTTAATACATTTAATATTAATAAAATATACTAATAGATTTTCAATCATTTTATCTGTCTGTATATACTAGATTTACTGGATTGATTTTAGATTTCTGGATAAGGATATTTCAGATTTTCTCTGCGGTACTTTTTGCCAGGACACTTCGTGTGATATAGGTTAGTCGCTGCCAGCATCTGGATTTTCTCAATGAAATGTATATTTAATGGCGATTTCCACAAGAATGGCGTTTATTACTAATGTTTGGGGGGAGGAAGTGAGTATGAGAGTATTTTTCTAGAAAAATACTGATAAGCAATGCAAAATTTATCATTTCAACAAAATCCAATCTATCATCGGATTTCGCAATTATAAATAAAGTTTAATTTTGAAAAAGAAATAATTGAAAATCGTTATCGATAAAAATTAGAAATCTATATTGTCCACGTTCTTCTTATAGTGCCAAATAAATTTCAGGTCAGTTCCATTGACTATTTAAAAAGCGTTCTGCTAGAGAGAAAATTCGCAAATTCACAAATTTAAGCACCA